AATTGGACCTTTCCCATGACCCTTTGCTTCCTTAAGTTTGCCACTTGCTGATACCAAATGAGGGAGGCTTTAACCAAGGGTGCCTAAATGCAAATGAATGGAGCTATCTGCTCAGGCTGATCGGTATTATAAATGCAATTTTTGCTGAGAACCTCTCTCCAGGACAGTTATAAAGGGATCCCAAACACATCCCATCTGTTACAATCCTGCACTGATTTATGTGCGCATTAAATTTGTTAGGCTCCTGCTACCCCTGTTAATAAACTGTCATTTAAAAAAAAAAAAGAAAAGCTTTTTGAGAAGCACAATTTTCTTATCTCCCAAAGGAAGAGTGATTGAAACGTTTTTATATCTATATCTATCTATCTATCTATCTATCTATCTATCTATCTATAAAATCTATCTATCTCATGTTTTTTCCGCACACAGACATCTCTCATGTGAATATAAAATAGATGTTCTGGAAATAATAATGTGCACTTTGAATAATTAATCACGCCAAAAATGATTCAAATTGTAGGCTTTTTTTTTTTTTTAGAAATGTATCTGAAGATCTAATTAATATGCTAGAACATACCTAAATGTTTATTTTTTTATCCTTTTGTTTTCAGACTGTATCCCACTGGAACTGCTGCAACCACTGAGAGTTCAGCTGCCACTGTCCAGTGTATTTAAAGGATATGTTTTAAAGGATATAGTTTTTTAATATATTTTTTTTCTTTTCCTAATATTTTCAGGACTCAAAATAAGAAAAAGAAACCAAAAAATGTTTTTCTTTTTTTTCAGGTAAATATGAAATATAGCACATTGATGTTGTGTAGTGTTTGTTATCCAGCAGATGGACCTCTAGTCTATTCTTCACATCACTGGCATGATTACTTTTCAGCTCTGCTGAAAGAAGCCCCTTGTTTAAAGAACTGTAACAAGTCATCACAGCAGTCAGCAGTGACTCCTTACTATCTAGTGTGGCTGTAAATCAAGCTGCTCAGATATGGTTATTTTAAAATAAAGATTTTATATAGATAAGGAAAAACAGATATAAAACAGTTTAAAAATGTATATGTTTAAGCTAATATTAAACCCACTTTAAAACACTCTTTAAGAAAAAAAGATTTATTCAACTCTATTTAGCAGTGTGCAATAATTTTCCTGGAAATATTTTTTATTTACTTTGGCTGGTTTTTTATATTGCTGCGCTGTGTTCATCTTGGCTTCATTATCTGAGTGCTTCCAATGTGTGTGCAATTAACTTATAAAGCGGTAGTAAAATATGTTGATATTAAAAAAAAAAAAAAACTCCCAGCAAGGTAAAGGCATAATGTGCTAGTATGCATCGCATACTAGCACACTATGAAAAACTTACCTTGAAACAAAGCCCTCAAGAGGTCCTCTGGCACCTCTGCTGAGGCTTTCATCTTCACCCAGTCTTCCTTCCAGGTTCGCGGGCTGCAGCCGCTTGTATGGCCGCGCCATGATGACATCACTCTCACGCAAACATGAGGGAGTCATGGCTATAGCACAGAGCTCTCTGACGGTATATGGATTTACAAATATAAATACAACAGTACATTTTAACATTGTAGTAGAAGTAGATATAAGATTAATTTTAAACAACTTGATATTGCAATATCACCGCTAAATACCACAATTTAGACAAGAGTGTTTTTGTAAAAAGATTTCTTTGGACAAAAAATTATGAATGTGGAATTTATACTTTAAGGAGAAGTAGGGTTTTTTTTTCCCCCTAAACATACTTACCTAGGTGGATGCAGCATCTGTCCTCCGCCGCCTCCTAAGGGTGAGAACTCGGCAATCACATGACTGTTGATCACTGAGTTTTTCTCTCCTCTCTGAACAGAGAGTGGGACTGTCAGTCACCACTCTCTGTACTGCCTCCCAGCGCTCACTGGAGTGCTGGGCTGTGGAGGTGGAGGGAACAGTGGCGCTTCGCTGAAAGGCTGAGCCAGGTGCCACTCCAGACTCTGGGGAGGATCCAGACTTTGAAGTCGGGATCTTTCCCCAGCCTGGACTGGCTGAGTGATGTCGGCCAACAGAAAAAAAGCAGCAGAATAAACGTCACTCCTGTGATCCACAGGAGAAGTACAGACAAAAAAGCTTTGGCTGTACTTCTCCTTTAAGCTGGTCATACACCAGTAGAATTTTGTTTGAAAATGTTTATTTGTTCAATTTTCTAGTATTTAGTGGGGGTCAAACTGATGTTCATTGATGACCATAGTGACTCTAAAAAACTCGACTTTATGATTACTATGTTTCTACTGGAATGAAATGCGTTAGAGGAGCAGGTGGATTTTCCTTGCATTGGATAACCTTAATAAACATATTTTTTTTGGACTTTCAGAAGTTGAGTGGCTCCACTTTTGCTTTCAGTGCTATGATTGCTAGTAGATCATGGACCACTGGAAACCAGCATTCTTCAGTTGGTGGAGCGGTGGTGGGAAGCTTAGAGCAGAGCGGTTGGGATTGTTTGTGTGAATGTGGATGTTGTTCAGCTAATATCATACATATTAAAATGAAACTTATTTATTATGTTATATAGTTAGTCTGGCTGAAAAAAATACAAAAGTCCATCCAGTTCAACCATAAAAAAAAAAAAAAAAGGTATAATCCTACACCCACAGTTGATCCAGAGGAAGGCAAAAAAACCCCAGCAAAGCATGATCCAATTTGCTCCTGCAGGGGAAAGAATTCCTTCCTGATCCCCTGAGAGGCAATCGGATATTCCCTGGATCACGTTTACCTATAAATGTTAGTATCCAGTTATATTCTGCGTATCCAAGAAATAATCCAGGCTTTTTTTAAAGCAATCCACTGAGCTGCCCAGAACCAACTCCTGAGGGAGTCTAGGATTCCATTCAAATAGCAGGTCTGGATGAAATTTTAAAGGCTTTCTGAAAAAATTTATTTGACTCAGTGATGGCAAGAAGGAGTGTTCTGATGAATTATTATTTTATGAATTATACTTATTAATTAATCTGATCAAATCATTAATCAGCAAACAAATGCAAACAAATGTCTCAATACAACTACCCTATACATTTTTTTTTTTTTTTTGGTTTAGATAAACTAACAAAAAAAACCATTCTAGTTTTCCATTTAAAAACATGTCTAATTGTTTACATCAATATTTCTTATCTCCCTTATTAAACCTTAGAAAATGGCTTGTAGGCTTTATTAAAGAGATTTTAGAGACTGCAATTAATTCACAAGCTACCTGAATGTAGGCAATGGTACTGCTGTTTAGACAACCAGCAGATGTCCCCAGCAGAACAGATGTGTGTCTTTTCCCCCAGGCCTTGTGTGCATCCTTATGCCCATGAGAAAGAAAAGTGTGCTCAGTGTTTATATGTCGTACTAAAGAGCGACCTTCAGCCACTTTACGAGGCACATGTTTGACATGAACCCTGAAGGAAGTGAGCTTATCGATTACAAAAATATTGTTCTGCGGTTTATCACAATAGATGATGCATATCTTTTGGTCAGCTCACATAAACATATACATCTATTTCCAAACCTTTTATTCGAATTACATCAGTTTGTTGTCTTTTCTGCTGTTGTACCACAATGCTTTAGAGTATCAACATCAAAACAAAGCAGAAACAAGATATCTGTTGGGTTGTCAAAAGATTTTTTTTTGGTCCAGCGGAATCATGAGTAAAGGATAAGTTCACCATTTTACAAAAAATAATAAATTCACATTTTTCTTTTTTGCAGGTAAAAAAAAATGTGCATTTTTTTTTTTTTTTTGGTTTGTTTCTGGAGCCTCTAAAGCATTGCACCAGCAAAACAGCAGATTGCTGGTTCCATTCATGTCTCCTGGAGACCTGTCAGTATATTTACTTAGCCGTACAGCCAAACATATATACTGACAGGAAGAATCAATGTACTACCACAGCGCTCCACAGTGCCATGTTAGTTCATTGAGAACTACAAGCCGACAGCCGCAAAGGCTGTGGGGACTTGTAGTTCATTCATTCACAGAATACCATTTTTTTTAAAAATTGTGACACAAAGGTGAACTTATCCTTTAAGATAACTAAGACTTGGTTCACACTGTGCAATGTGGCAGTGCAGATACAAATGCAGCACAGTCTTTCTTACGTTACAAACGATTGCACTAGGGCAGCCCATTCATTTGAGTCCAAATTGCAACAAAGTGCATGACCCCTTTTTAAAAAAATTCTGCCACACACATTTTTTATTGCACAATTCTCACACACTACAGCAAGGTACACTATAATGCCAAAAGTATTGGGACGCCTGCCTTTACACGCACGTGAACTTTAATGGCATCTCAGTCTTAGTCCGTAGGGTTCAATATTGAGTTGTTCCACCTTTTGCAGCTATAACAGCTTCAACTCTTCTGGGAAGGCTGTCCACAAGGTTTAGGAGTGTGCCTATGGGAATGATTGACCATTCTTCCAGAAGCGCATTTGTGAGGTCAGGCACTGATATCAGATGAGAAGGCCTGGCTCGCAGTCTCCACTCTAATTCATCCCAAAGGTGTTCTATTGGGTTGAGGTCAGGACTCTGTGCAGGACAGTCAAGTTCCTCCACCCAAATTCGCTCATCCATGTCTTTATGAACCTTGCTTTGTGTACTGGTGTGCAGTCATGTTGGAACAGGAAGGGGTCAACCCCAAACTGTTCCCACAAAGTTGGGAGCATGAAATTGTCCAAAATGTCTTGGTACGCTGACGCATTAAGAGTTCCCTTCACTGGAACTAAGGGGCCAAGCCCAACCCCTGAAAAACAACCCCACACCATAATCCCCCGTCCACCAAACCTTACATTTGGCACAATGCAGTCAAGCAAGTACCATTCTCCTGGCAATTGCCAAACCTAGACACGTACATCAGATTGCCAGACAGGGAAGCATGATTTGTCACTCAAGAGAACACGTCTCCACTGCACTAGAGTCCAGTGGTGGCATGCTTTACGCCACTGCTTCTGACCCTTTGCATTGCACTTGGTGATGTAAGGCTTGGATGAAGCTGCTCAGCCATGGAAACCCATTCCATGAAGCTCTCTACGCACTGTTATTGTGCTAATCTTAAAGTCACACGAAGTTTGGAGGTCTTTAGCTATTGACTCTACAGACGTTTGGTGACTTCTGCGCATTGTGCACTTCAGCATGTGCTGACCCCACTCTGTCATTTTATGTGGTTTACCACTTAGTGGCTGAGTTGCTGTTGTTCCCAGTTGCTTCCACTTTGTTAAAATACCACTAACAGCTGACCGTGGAATATTTAGTGCAAGGAAATTTCACAGATGGACCTATTGCACAGGTGGCAACTTATCACGGTACCACGCTTGAATTCACTGAGCTCCTGACATCAACTCATTCTTTCACCAATGTTTGTAGAAGCAGTCTGCATGCCTAGGTGCTTCATTTTATACACCTGTGGCCATGGAGGTGATTGGAACACCTGAATCCAATGACTTAGTGGGGTGTATAATACAATTTTTTCAATATAATATACGTTGAGTTGCCATTAACAAATAATGGCAATGATATGTGCCTGCAAAAGGGATGGGTGTTTCTGTGCACTGCAGGAGCACTTGCAATTTTGCATGTATTCCTGCATTGCACAAATGTGAACCTTGGCTAACTCTTGCACATAAACACTTGTAAATACAATTGATGTCTAACAATTACAACTCACGAATTAAAGATGAACTCTTGGCAGATTTAATAGTAAACGCACAGAAATGCAGTAATGTATTTGAACTTCTGCTTATGGATGCTTTTGTGCATCTAAAATAAATTGCAGGAGTATTCCTGTGCATGGGAGACACAGCTACATTGCGGAGCTACCCATAGTAATCAATGGTTGTACACTAGCTATATCAGGATGTATTTTGTATTTGCGGAAACTCGCACACAGGAAAACCGAATTAATGCCCATGCTCAAAGAAATGCGCAAGCACGCAGAATGGTCCACAGAACTATGCATGAAATCGGGACCATGCACACATCTTCATATGCACATGTGCATGCATGTTTGTGTGGGAGCATTAGCATGCTCATGAACGTAAGCATGCACATGGCCTATTTAAAGCACTACAAGACTCGTTCTGCCTGTCACCTAATCCAGTGCTTATGCCCTGATCCCATTAGATGGGGGGGGGGGGAATCAAACTGTGTACAGTCTGATCTGATAGTGGTGCTGTCACCTGCTGTATGGAGAAGTGCTGTTCTGACCGGAGAGCCTATACCTCCTCCTGGCTCTGTAGAGTTTTCCCACCTGCAAGTTGTGGGGTGGGAGCTTACAGGCCGGAGGAATTGTATTGGGAACATGATGGGGGGGGGGGGGGGGGGGCACAAATAATATATGCATGCGATGAGAGGTTTGTGGAGAAGGGTAATGGGGGGATGAATTTGTGCTAGGAGGAGAATTGAGAGGGGGATCTGTAGATTTTGCAAGCAAGATTGATACTCAAAGTATATGAGCTTCTTCTGGGGAAGAATCTTGTGTTTTGGCCCAATGGACTTCAATGGAAGCACCTGAAAAAATGCACAAAAAGCACAGTAAGGCTCCATGCACACTGGCTTAAAAAACACTTTTCTTAGAGGAGTTTAACGTTTTGCCTGTAGAAGCAACTAATGTTATCCTATGTGTCCATGCACATTAGGTCATCGAGAGGTATTTTTTAAGCTCAGGATTTAGAGGCAGGAAAAAACCCTTCTGTTATGCATTTTTTAGAGCGTTTGTAACGTACCTGGTGGTAGAACCTGAAGTGCAGAGGGGGGGGGGGGGGGGCCTCCCTTGCAGCTCTGGCTCAGGGGCCCTGGTAGAGTAACACGGAGCATAGAGGTGCACGAGTGCCTGGTATGACTTCTGCTGATGGATGTTGACATGTGTCAGGAATGCAGGAGCAGCTGGTGGATGGCACACTTGCAGAGGTGCAGGAACGGCTTGGCAGATGACACTCGGGCAGAAGTGTAGGAGCAGGATACTGGCAAGGATAAGTCGGTTCAGATGCAGGATCAGAGTAAAGCAAGGTCAGGAGGTCCGGGTCAGCAAATAGCAGGCAGAGTAGGCAGAAATGGCAGGCAGAAGAATAGTCAAAGGGCAGGCCAGGGGTCGGTACAGGCAGCGGTATGGTCCAATCGTATCCCCCTGATGAAGTCACGTGACCTGGTGATGCACCGCGTAGGGGAGGGGCTCTGACGTCACGACGTTGTCTCGGATCAGTATGGCGTGCATTGCCTGCAGATACTGCAGGCAATGCTCTCACTAGCTTATGGAAGAGTGTAATAATGTGAGTGGCAAATTTGACCATTAATAAATCACCATTTTAAAAAGGATAAGGCACCATGGTTTCTGTTTTTATCCTATGATACCCATCTGAGATACATCGAAGAGAGGCTATTTAGAGTTGGAGGGAGACCCCTGGAGGGGAAAAGGGAGAGATCCATCCATCCATTTCCTTTATACAGTATACTTATTGATTGGAGAGACCCCAGGTGGAATAATATATAATTACAACGGTCCATTTTATATCTGGAGGAATTTTTACACAGGAGGAATATGGTTACATCAGTCCTATGAGGACAACAAGCGTTTTTTGCCTATCATCTTAGGCAAAACACAAGGTGAGTGCATACTAAGATCACACTGCACGTGGATTTTGGGAGTGGCACTTCTTATGTTGAATTTAATCGCAAGAGGACTCTGTGTACACTTATATTTATATTTAAATATGGACTTGGATATATTGATATTGTTTTCTGTTTTCACAAAGGTTAATTAGCACAGTAATATATTTGTTTAATACAGAGTGGTATATGTGATATACAGCATCATTTTTATTAATATAAGGTATCTTAAAGTTTATTTGTATAGGAGCGCGGCACTTTTATATATTACTTTGAGTCGGTACAGGCAGCGTTCTAGCAGGGTCAGTAACAGATCAGATCCACAACGGAATCACAGGTAACAGGATGCACAGGTGCTCAGAAGTATAAGACCAAATGGCATTAATGCAAGGCACTAGCCCAGCCGAAAACAGCCCAGCCACTTGCGCGCACCTGTGTGTGCGGTCGCCAATCGGCCACGAGCAGGGCTAACAGGGGTTCTGCACCTGCGCATAGATATGCGAATTCCCTGACAGCATTTTTATTTTCCAAGAGCACAGGCATTTTTTAAGCCAGTGTGCATGGAGCCTAAAAAGCATACAGTGCTCTTTTCCAAGTGGTTGGTTGCCTAGTATTTAGCTTTCCACTACAAAAAATAAAAAAATAGCTTAAGCTTCAAAAATGTTCACCTGTTAAAATGCTTAAAAAAATCCAGATGCTTAGATTAAGGGTGAATGGGATCTGAAAGGGACCCCAGCCTTTTACTTTGATTTAGCTTATTTTTAAAAAATATTAAAAAATATATATTAAAAAAATGGAAACAAAAGTTTTCTTTTTGCAAGGGAACTTTCACTTAGCTTAGTTAATGTGGAAGGAAAATTAAAAAAAACTGAAGTCAACAGAGCTTCACCTCATTCACTAAGCTAAGAGAAAATTCCCTTGCAAAGTGAAAATTCGTTCTGCTAAGTGAACAGCCTATCTGCCTGTAGTAAATCAACCCATACATCTCAGTTCCACTTTTAGATGGTGAAAGTACTGGTCCCAGAATTACCTCTTTAGAGGGAGACAGATGTCCACAGAATCTAAGGGACCTAATTGGAGCCTGATCTTTCATCAACACCATTAGCATTGGCCACTAGGAAAGCTAGTACCAATGCAGGGGATTGTTAGCTATCTTTTGTCTCCATAGCCACATTTCTTCTGTTTTCTGAAACTGGTTTTAGGTTTTACTTGTTACCTAATGGAAAGGGGTTAATATCACATTAGTGAGATATTAGCTTGAATTTTTTTGTATCAGTTCGTTTATAGTCAAAGTGCAGCTCTATCCAAAAGGGGAAGTTCCGCTTTAAGGACTTGTCCCTCACTCCCCGTTAAGAACTGTCACCTTTGGGGAACGGGTACGTGATTTTGACAGGTACCCGCTCCCACTTCTGCTCCAACTGCCCAGGCGATCGGAAGCGGAATTTCTCCTCCCCCCCCTTGCAGTCTGACAGGTCTCAGAAGACCATTCGACTAATGAGGAATCACATTGGGCGGAGCGAATTGTGTCACTTCCAGTTTGTCTGAGTCTGGATGTGGAGTGCATCGGCATTCCGGAATACATTGATTTTAAAGTGTTTATACATGGTATACCTGTAAGTGCAGTTTTATGTGTTTTTTAACAGTATAACACTATGGAAGCTTCCCTTTGATTATTCCCATTGCATATATTGGGTGAAGGAGGAGAAAGTGGACTTTTTTCATTGGGAGGACCCCATTACACAGGATAATACATTATAGTGGAAATCTGAGGAACTGGAACATCTCACCTACCAAGCGCTTCTGATCTACCTATTCACAGGGGGTCAAAGTATTGTGGTGAGTGTGGTTCTGGAGGGAGAGCACAAGTGTCAGCAAGGATCACCAGTCATATATATTGGCACCACTTTTCATCACTAATTCACCAAATGTTTTTGTAGGATGTGGAAGGTGTTTCGTAGTACAGGAACATTGCTTACCCAATAATGAGGAATGAACTGTTCTAATTATCGGAAATTGTTTTTGGATATATGGACATTTGCGCACGTTGTGACAGGCGAACGTGCATTGTAGTACCTATCACAGATATTATTTCAATTTTAATTTATTTTTTACTTGATGTGTCATTTGGTACATTGATTGGTTCACTTAGCACACATACTAACAGGTGGGGGAGATGTATTATAGCGTTCCCACCATACACTTTATGGTTCTTTTATGTACAGTTCTATATAGGTAGAGTTGTTCAGGCATACACTTCCTCAGTAGGGAGGTGTTTTATAACACATTCACAAGAAAACTTCACTGGCAGCACAACATTTATTTCATTTCATGATAAAATATAGGTTTTTATTTTATCACAATGCAGACCAATGCAGCCCACAAACAGCACTGTGGATCAGGAGTGACCAAAACGCAAAACACCGCTTTGCAAAAAAGGCCCAATTTAAAATGTACAAATATTTGTTATTTATGAGCTCAATACAGTTGTATCACTTTTAGATTTGCTAGGGATTTTGTAAGTTATGTTGTCTTTTTGTTCACTATTATTGATTTTAGTGTAACTGATTGAAAATATTGTTTTGATAAACATTTGCACTACTGTTTCAGGACCTGTGCTGTCAGTATATTAGGGTTTCTTTTTAAAACTCTGAAAGCTGTAGGTGAATAATGATAAAAAAAAAATGGAAAAGTTGCAAAAATGTTTTTCCACCTAAGGTGAAAAATACAGGACAGGGCCCCTGGCAGAAAAAGGGTTAATGATCCTTATAACACAAC